TGATGACCATTTAGGACACCTTTGTATTAACCATGAAAACAAAATGTAACTCTGAGCGATCTGTGAGTCACTGGATGACAATGTTCTTAACTTACTAGAGCTGCACAACATGTTAAACTCATTGTGGTTGTTTTGGGAGATGTTGTGATTTCAGTTGAAATGATCTTTTGTTTTATTGATTTTCTCTGAAAATATAAAGATGTGATTTTTGTTGGTTCTTGTACTAAACAAACACGTTCCTTTGTGTGGAGAATATGATCAATAGACTGAGCAGTTCTGTAGCTCCACAACACTGGTGCTAACAATGCTAATGCTAACAATGTGGCATATATATTGAGATCAGTTGTGCAGCTCTAATATTTGCTATTTGTTCTAGTCTTATAGTTTTAGAGGTAACGGCTGTCTACAAACCTCCACACCTTTACTGTCATTGTGTTAGTCATGTGTAACTACTGTCTGATCTGTGTGGCTTCTCGTTGTGTGAACAGAACACCCGTGAGACGGCCCAGGCCATCAAGGGCATGCACATCCGCAAGGCCAACAAGTACCTGAGGGACGTGGTCGTCAAGCACCAGTGTGTCCCCTTCCGTCGCTACAACGGCGGCGTGGGCAGGTGTGCCCAGGTGAGTTCTGAGCGAACACCTGTGCAGCGTGGAGTCTGTAGAAGCTGCAGGGATGACTCTCTTAGGACACCTTTGGATTCAAGATGAAAATACTCTGTTGAAACTGAGCAGCTTCTTTAAATCAGCCTGTTGTGGCGGAGGAGGGAACGTTTCTTCTAACCAGGTTTGATGTTTTCAGGCCAAACAGTTCGGCTGGACTCAGGGTCGCTGGCCCAAGAAGAGCGCCGAGTTCCTCCTGCACATGCTCAAGAACGCCGAGAGCAACGCTGAGCTCAAGGTACGTTCACTGACGCTGCGTTCATCGATTCTTACAGAGCTCAGACTCACGACTGACTCCTGCTTAATTAGATGATAAATCACAGATGAGATAGAATTAAAATTAGTCTGAACCAAAACAAACCTTTCATTTTGATTTTGTCAGATGTGACAGATTTGTGGCCTCACATCACATGTGTGGTGGATGACGCTCTGCTGCTGCGTGCTAACACTGAAAACGATCTGCAGGAAGAAACAGATTAAA